CTTGCGCTTGCCAAAGACACTGTCATGGACGGTGATGATGAGATGTCGAAGCTCATGGGCTTCGGCGGCTTTGGATCCACCAAGAAATGATCATCTGCTGATACCCACACAACCTCAAACTGTATCTGTAGCCGCAACTCACTGTATCATCACACCTGTCTTCCACATGCCTGATATCACATCACCCAGAACTCGCGTTTTCGCATTCGCTAATTGTACATGTACAGCAGGTAATGTACAAATTCCGCCATCTGATCCTTGTTTACTTCTAGCCCTCTGAAATTACTATGCCCGAACCAGTGACAGCGTGAACTTGACCTCTGCCACCTCCTGTTCCTCTTCGATCACGAGTTCCCCACCATTTCTAGTTTTCACATCAGGCAGGCACGCTACGGATGGTCTTCTGAATGACTTCTGCGTGCTCCTTGAGGGCGTCTTGCAACTCTGCCCCCGAGCCCTCCTCAAAGCAGTAGTACACATTCAGATCATCAGTGGCTTGTAGGCCAGCCTTTTTCCGAAGCTTCTGCACCCGGTTGATGACCTCTCTTGCAAGCCATTCGCTCATCAGCTCCGGGTGGACTTGAATGTCCAGTCTGACCACGACGTCGTTATCGGTATGGGTCGCATACTGGCCTTCAGAAGCGGGTGGCAACTCGAGGTAACGTTGTACAGTCAGGTCACCAGTGACTAGCTCAATGCCATCAACTGTGAGCTTCCCTGAGTCGATGTATGCCTTGACATCGGTGGAGGAAACATTGGGAAGCGCGTTCTTAACGCGTCCGAGATCCTTGCGCAGTTTGCGACCTAGCGTGCCCCAATCTGCGACAGCTCGGTAGCCAATGCCACATGCGGCCTCGTCGGTGGTGAACACCACGTCACGTACGTTAAGCTCTGACTGGATGTAACGTTGCAAAGACTGTACATCGGCAATATACTGCTCCTCAGGATGGAAGATAAGGAGTTCTCTGAGAGGCGTCTGTGTGTCGTAGATTGGTTGAAGTAATGCTCACGACGGCGAATAAAGCTTACCTTCAAGGACAAGTTATTCTTCTCCCGGATATACCGAGTAAGATCAATTACAGCTTGCATGCGCTTCACCTGGCGCTCGATCACCTCATCGAAGTACTCTTCCTTGACGTCGGGGAACATGAGGAAGTGAACTGATCTTGCATCGGGAACGGAAGGATCCTCCGGGATATATTCGCGCAGAGTCTGGTAAAGGTTCTCCGTCATGAAAGGCGTGTACGAGGACTGGCAGAGCATCAGCATGGTCAGTCATGGTATTTTCTCATAGAACACGCACCATAGTCCTGCATAGGGTGAACAGTGTCTCGAAAAGCGTGTTGAGAGCGGCAATCGTGTCCTCTTTGCCATCCTCGCCCTTTAATCTCCGCCGGTTGAACCGGATGTACCAGTTCGTCAGCTCGTCGATAAGATCGAGGAGTCGCGGCAAGATGGTGTAAAGTCTGTAAGCCTTCATCTCGTCCTTCACGAGTTTGATAAGAGATTGACAACGAGCAAGGATCCATCGATCCATGACGTTGTTTGAGACAGGGGCGTGTGGGTTATACATGAACTGCACGCCGGTGGTTTTCTCGAGGAGTGTTACTTGGCCAACGAAGAATCGGACGGAGTTCAACCAGGGGAGAAGAACGCGAGAGATAACGTCCCGGACACCTTCCTCGCGGAAGCGCAAGTTTTCACCCCGCACGATGGGAGAGTTGACCAAGAACATTCTGGACAAAAGTAAACTTTAGAGTAGCATATATCACTGAATTGACACCGACCTCGTGGCGTCTGCACCATATTGGTTAAAGATGATATGAGGGTCGGGGTAATTTCTAAGACTTTTGCTCATCTTCTTGCCATCGGCGGCGAGTACGAGACCAGTGACGATTAAATTCTTCCACGGTGCAGTACCGAAGAGATGAGTTGAGAGGATGAGCAACGTGTAGAACCAACCCCGAGTCTGATCGATACCCTCTGACACGAAGTCACCCGGAAAGTTTTTGAGGAAAGACTCTTTGTTTTCGAATGGGTAGTGTGCTGATGCGTATGGCATGCTGGAATGGTCATGTTGTTAATACGATTTGCAGGATGGGGGAGCCGAGTTACCTTCCAGATTCGAACCAGCAGTCGAAGACTTCCTCCACGCGCCTCAGGACGCCCTTGCCCATCTTCGAAGGAATAGTCAGGTGATCAATTTTTTCGCGGTGAATGTCTGTGAGGCCAGTGACACCAGTCAGCTCCTCGAGTTCGGCGATAGAGCCGATACAGATAACCTGTGCTCTGATCAATTCACACCCATGCTGAAAAATGCTATTGCCGACCTCCTCATAGTCATCACTGGCCCACAGGGGTAGTGGTGTGCCCCAGTATCGGTTTCTAGATACATTCCAGTCACGTGCATTAGCTAGCCAGTTTCCAAATCGACCATCCTTGATATGTTGAGGCACCCTGATGAACAGAATTGAATCGACGTTTACAGGGAAGCGAACAGTGCACTCACCATAGTGTGTTCAGGTTGTTAGTAACAAGCTGGTCCACAATAGGTTGTACGCGGATGAACCACGACGGCACGGTACGATAGATTAAGGGTGTTCCTGATCTGGGGAAGAAGTCAGCGTACCGATCAATGTTCTGTTCAAAGGGCTTTACCGCCAGCAGAACGGGTAGGAATGCTTGATGGTCGATTGCACAATGAGACGACCTTTCGCCTTCAAGACTTTCATGATCTCTTTATCTGCGACCTTTAGACCAACGGTGAGCACCGCCAAATGGTTCGATCAATGAACGATGACAAACTTTGATGTACATGCCCTCAAAATCGGTGACTGGCTTGATGAATTTGCCACCATCGTCTAAGGGACAAGGAGGCATCTCTTCGGGACAAAGGACACCATTTTCGATAGCAACGCGAGCATCATCTTCACCAAATGCCGGGGCTTGCTGTACGATACCTGTACCGTCTGTTGCCGTGACATACGTATCCACAAAAACGCGAAATGCGCGATCTTCATACTGAAGGATGGTCAGAAACTGCACGAAACAAAGGTACATTACGTACCTCTTCTGTGAAATACTCAAAGAGCGGTACATATTTCCATCCCTTCATTTCGATACCCTTGTAAGATGCCAACTTCTTGAACTTGGCTTTCTTGGGATCTTTGTAGAGAGTCCCAAGAAGCTGATCACATAGTATATAATTTGCGTTGTGCTCTTCATCATGAATCTTGATGTAAGTCAGCTGGGGGTGAACACACAGTGCTAGATTAGATGGTAGGGTCCACGGTGTAGTCGTCCATGCTAGAAGCGATGTGCTGGGATCGTCAACTAGCGGGAATGCGATGGTGACTGCAGGATCGTTTACATCTTTGTAGTCTAGCCCTGCTTCGAAGTTCGAAAGTGGGGTGGTGCATCCCGTAGAATAAGGCATGACGCGCTGGCCACGGTACACCATGCCCTTTTTCCAGAGCTCCGAGAATGCCCACCACTCGCTTTCCATGAAAGGCGTATTTAGCGTTTTGTAGTCGTTGTCGAAGTCAATCCATCGACCCATGCGCTCGACGGTGACGCGCCATTCCGATGCGTAACGCATGACGATGGCACGACATTCTGCATTGTATTTGTCGATTCCCATAGCCATAACGTCTTGCTTGCCAGTAATTCCAAGTTTCTTATCGATCTCATGCTCGACGGGGAGACCGTGAGTGTCCCATCCAAATCGACGCGTAACATGATGGCCTGTTACATGGGCATGTCGAGTGATGATGTCCTAGATCAAGGAAGCGGACGTTAGTAGATCGGCTAACGATAAAGATCAGATGCTGCTGATCACATACCTTGATGGTGCCCGCGAGAAGGTGACCATAGTGAGGAAGACCAGTCGCAAAAGGAGGACCGTCGAAGAAGACATATTCTGGTTTGCCTTCGGACAGCTTCAAACTTGTCTGGAAAGCATCTATCTCGCGCCAGTAAGCGATTACTTTCTCCTCCTCCTTTGGAAAGTTGAATGGTTGGGTGACTAATTCAAAAGACGCTGGTGAACAACATAATGTACCAGCGTAGTCACCAAACTACGTACTGTCTTGTTTTGGAAATGACATCCTAGTATCTTGACTTCAGCAATCGTGTAATCTGTATGAGTGACCCCGTCGCGATGAAGGTGATTCTTTTGAGGCGATTCTTTTAAAGTGATATCTTGATCTAAGGCGTGACTCGAGCTGAATCGGATTCTGACTCGGATATCAAAACCAAACAGGGTATGTATGCCACCAAGACACGTGGATCATGGACTAGCAGCCTAACGATATATCAGTGGCGCTCGCGAGAAGTGCAGTACAAGCTGAGCAGTGTAGATCGATGGATGTGATGATCAATTCAATTCACGGTATATCGTACTACTATCTCATAGCCCCTTCAAAAGCAAAAATTTGGACCCCGCGTCGACGATTTTCGGCAAACAGCGACGAGACTTCATAGGGCTGGGGAGTCCCTCTTGTCAAAACGAAAAGAAGCCATGGACATCCTGAGTTAACGTTCAACTTCGACGTCTTACTTATGTGCAGTTAGCAGGCATTCACAAGCGCACATCCCAATGAACACAGCTACGTGCCTATTATAGTGCTCTCAAAATTTCGACGTGTTTCAACCTCAAAGATGCCATGTTTGAACTACGGCCGCATCATTTCTGTCGATCCCAAAATCCAAACCGATATGCCCTCATAATAGTTCTCAAACCAACGGGCTTCCGAACGAGATAAAGCATGCCCGCAGCGAATCGTGATTGATTCTGTTCACCATGATAGATACCACAGCGATAGCCATTGGGGCGACATCTCTTGTCATCTTGCTGTCAGTTTTGTGATCAAAGACGAAGACGTCTAGACATCTGCTCCCTTCAGATCGTCGTCGAATTTCATTCCTCAATGCTCGACATTGATCGGCATGATATTCTCGTCATGATACTCTTTCCAGAAATCCAAGAGAGGGCGTGAGCTGAAGTCGACTCAATCGTATCCAATGATAGGCTACCCGCTGTTGCAGGTCGAGATGCTTTGTTGTACATTGAAGTGATTATATACGAAACAATGAGATGGCGCCCGCCACTCTCCTTAGGTTCGACTTCTCCGTTTTGTCTATACCTTTTTGCACCTTCCTAACAGGCCTCCCTCATGCTACGATCATGGATAATGGGTAGCACAGTTACCATGTACCGAAAGGTGCAACCAAATACATATTCCACCAAGGTTTCTGATGGGTACAATAGGAGCAATCGTGATCTTCAACGCATGGTGAGCGGAGAAAGGCTCATTATTATCTCTCATTCATTCTCTGAATAGCAATGTCGCGTGACTGTGTCAACGCCGACCAGTTTGACCCGGGATGCCACCTGCTTCCCGATGGCGAGCTCTCGCCAACCAGAAGGATTGCAGGAAGTCCTTTCTTCGAGTTCAGAAGAAGGTATATCGTCTGGCAATGTGATTTGTTCCTCACTAACCAACGCACAAGAGTATGTCCTGGACGTTTTTTCGCAGAAGGTTTGTTGTGGGCAGCCTTCATGCAGATCTCAGCGACAATGCACTTCTCGAAGGCCAATGGCGCGAACAGCCGATTCATCGAAATCATCCCAGTAATCACGAATGGTGTTACGTCGTGAGTTCCTTGATTCGATGTACATTATTACCATTTGACTTTGATCTTCTAGTCGCTCGGCACCATCCCCGCTTTTAATTACTGATGCGGAGAGAGCAAAGTTGTTCAACGAGTAGGGTCCATTGTATCGCCGGTACACTGTTTGTGGATGACCTGCGAGCAGTCGTATGTAATTAATTTTTGATCTCACCTTGGGAAGCGTCCTGGCACAAGTGGTCACCACACCACAACAGAATCGAAATCTGTTTCTCTTGGACTGCGCAGATTCGAAACCTGCCTGAAACGAGTTTTTTTTCTATCGGGAAACACCTTGACAATCACTCATGGATGGTTTCGTTGGAGGGTTGTCTTAACTGGAATTAGCCAAGTGGTTAGAATCAAAATCTGCTCCCCTTGGATTGGGCAGGTTCGAAACCTGCGGACGAGAAGGGCTTTTTTCTATCGAAACACCTTGGCATTCACAGGTTCAACGTTCAACATTCAATATTCAACCACTGACCTCAACTGGTCTTAGCCAAGTAATAACAACAACAGAATCGAAATCTGTTTCTCTTTGATTGCGCAGGTTCGAAACCTGCTGAACGACTTTCTTCTTCTTTTGGAACACACCTTAACATTCACTCATGGATGTTTTCCTCGGGGGTCCATCTAACTGGTCTTAACTGAGTGGTTACTCCAACAGAGTCAAAATCTGTTCCTCTTGAAGTTGGTTCGAAACCTGCTGACAACATTTCTGCGGTGTATAGATCCTCGCAGGTCCCGAAACCTCCTTTTTATGTGATAGTCTATCCATGAAAAGGAATTCACCGTCACGCCCCGCAAGGGTCGTCTCAGAAACATGAGACCGCAGCGTACGTGCCAAACTAGATTCTCGACAGACTGACCAAAACTATCGGAATTCACCACCAAATGAAAAATGTTAATGGGGTCGGAGGCCAGAGGAATGCACGCAAGCTAAGGACAGAGTGAGTCTGACAGTTAGGAAAATGACGTAACCTCCCAGCCTCGTTGAAGTCTTATCGATGGACATTTGTCACTCCTTCGGTTGGCTCTTCTCAAACACCATGCAAGAGTGACCCACTGAGGCATGCATAGCGGGAAAAGGGGGGCCCAGCGAACTGAGTGGCAACTTGACAAGTCTCTAACAAATAACGTGTCAAATGATTGTAACCGAAAAGGCCGAACACAGGTGTAGCAGGCAGAGATTTGGGGTGATGGGAAACCGATCGCGTTGGGAGTAGGAGGGCCCAAAATTCTCTGGCCCAGAGCTTCATCAAGAGTGGCGCGAAATACAGCGGTTATGTACGATCACTGGAGCATAACGGGGTTTGTACGCTTAGATGATTACAGGATGAATTTAAAGGGCCGAGGCCGGACGTTGAAGGCCCTTGTTAGATATCAAGCTTGATCGACAATGAATAACATCACGGAATGGGCTCATCAAGCATCAGCACTTCAAAACGCCCATGTCTTCTTGATAACGGCTCATGTCGATCCTGGCAGATGTGTTTATCTATCCGCTTCTGCCTAGCATCATTTCTAAACATTGGTGACGAGGCTGAGAGACGAACACGTCCAGTGTGGTACATCGCCAGTGGCTCCTTGTGGTCTGTGATCGTTCCAATGTTTGACTGTTCTTGACTTGTCATAGAGATCCCGATGTGCGATGGGTATCTGGGATTACCTTATGTATGATGCCAATTCTTCATTGGGTACGAAGTGTGCGCCGATTCTGGATGTAGTTATCCTGCTGCCATATCACCCTGTCCTAGAGTGGTTTCGGATAGGTTATCTGGGTTGGTGCAGTGGGGGCCTCTAAGCATGTGATACTCAAGTGATGGGCGAGCGGAAAGAAACGTATATGATACAAGTATGGTAACCCCTAGTAAACAATACAGATGCGAACCAATAAAGATAATATAACAAGACAACTGTCCTTAGGACCCTCGCTTTGCATATTCTGTACATTGTTCTTTCATGAATTTCTCAAGCTTCACTGCGTTCCTATGGTATATCGATGTTTCGGGGTTGTACAGCTTGCAATTATCGACCACCAGTTGAACATCGTCGAGAAAAAATTTCAGCGAGGAGTACTGGTTGGTTTCCAATTTGTGCTCCATCGTGCTGAAATCTGATGGAGATGTTAATGTAAAAATATATGACATGGGAAGTTAAGTACAGACCCATAGGTCTCTTGATGACACCGTAATAATCTGGGACCTCATCGGCATTGACTGGGTTTAAGAAAGCCCAAGCTAAGGGATGGGCTTTGAGATCGGAGAGGAGGCGCTGAATTTGTGTGTGCTCGGCGCTTTTCCCGGAGCGTGTGCTGCAAGAAGTCACATACGACTGACTCAGATCGCGAAAGGCAACTCACCTGTGTTCAATGCCAGGCGTCCAACCGCTCTCTCCTACAACAAGATTGAGGCGCCAGCTCACTCAAAGAAACGATGACGTACTTAGCCCTGGGACTTCCTTAGGATCCACTGTGATCCCTTCCAGAGCACCTTCTTGGAATTGCGAAAGACCCTGATACACGATGTGCGATTTCGACATCTCGCGGATCTTGGTGAGGATCGCTTCCCGCTGCTGAGAGATGATGCTGACTTTGTCAAGATAGTTGACCTTGCGCAGCATGGTGCATTGCATGATTGTCCCGCCCTCGTAATCTTTGATGTACCCAGCCCACACAGAGCGATCAAGTGTGATCTCCTTCGAGAAGCCTTGCTTCTTGAAGAATACTACAGCAAAATTGTCGGCGTAGGTGAGGAAGTGCATCACATCGGGGTATGTACGTTTGATGTGTTGTTTGAAGTTATCCATGAGCATGCCACCGTAGCCCTGTCATAGAAGTTGTAGTTGTATATATGACGAACAAGGCCTCTGCCTACCTTCACTTGGTCCACAGATGCAGTAGCAAAGAAGACGATCTCCGCAAATCCACGGTGTGGGAAAGGTCTGTAGCAAATACCACCTACGACCTTATAACCATTTTTGATGATCGCAAGTGCTTTCGAGTTGTGGTCATAGACTAGACGCGCAATGTACTCGCGCGGCATCATAGGCAACTGTGTTTGGAACAAGGTCTTTAGACCAGTGAGAATAACCGTAGAGCGCGGCTGTCGGTCATTCTCCACTGCAGTTATTTCAATAATCCCCTTGCGCAGCTCCACAAAAGCAGCTTTTTCGGGCTTGTGGGAAGGCTTGAACAGCATAAGTGTCGGTTAAGCGAGAAATGGGGATATAACTCACTACAGCGGAGGATGCTGGCACCGTGTCTACCGTAACACCAGTCGCAAGGCGTGTAAGTTGACCCTCGTCCATCTTGTCTTCAACCTTTACTTTCAGATCCGGGTTGCGACCATTGGCAACGCCATTTTTCTCTGGCCTTTTGTCTCCTGTGGGAGCTTTCTGCGTTTTTGACTTCATACTGGAGGTCTTCTTTCCGCTTCTCTGCGTCACAGCCTTCCTGGAAGTCATTCCAGTGGCTGCATTCGAATCTGCAACTTGAGCGGCTAAAGGTTTGTCATCGTCGTCATCATCTTCATCATCATCTTCTCCTTCTGCATCGCTGAGTGAAGAGGAGGTCAGTCGTCTACGCTTTGGAGGTGGAGGGCCTGGAGGCTCGTCACTGAGTACGGAGGAAGCCGGGGACATTGGTCGGCCAACTGGAGAAGATTGTTCTGAAACACTTCAGGAGGTCGCAGGAAAGATCACTGTAAACGACGTACGGATAGAAGGAGACGCTATGCTAACCATAGAGACGGGAACCTTCATTTGTTGCTTGAGGGAGTCGATGTCTTCATCTGCATAATTGAAATCAAGTTGCCTGTCTGCCTCCTAACACGATGCGCGTGCTGTCAGCGTGTATATAATGACGTGGGAGAAGACGTACTTGGAGAAGTTCGTCAAGACGAGTTGCAAGGCGTGCTCTGCGTGAAAATTCCTCCCGTCCTAAGGTGGCTAATTGACTACCGTGGGCTGCTACATCGTGGCCACATATACACGTTTCGAGATATGAGGGGCCGTCCTCTTCGTCGGAGCCGTATTGTGTTAGATCGCCGAGTAGAGACTTTTGTTGATCATCATCATCTAGAACCACCTCGACGCTTGCTGGGGGTCGCAGACCAGGACAAGAATCACACGCAGTACAGGAAGAGTGTCGGGCTATCCTGAGTGCGAGTGCAAGGTCATTGTTGTTAGCTTCAGATAAACAAGGGTAAGAGAGTTTCATGGGAGCAAAAATTGGGATTGCTATGTGGTGTGCAAGCCAGTTTATGATACTGTAGGTAGCCCCGTATAGCAAGTAGTCATTTCCAAAAGCAGCTTGCCCCTGAAGCTAGAACGCTCTTCAACGTCGTTTGCACTCATTCGAGAAAAGTGGCAGGAATTGGGCGCTCGATCACAGGCTATTCATTAATGAAAAATGGTATTTTTTAAGTCCTCATGTTGACCAACATACTAGATGAGGGCTGCCATGTCGCATCCTGTCAATGATGGACTCCAAGTTCAATCATAGCCCATCACTGATATAATCTTATTATGGCCTTGGAGCGGCGTTCACTTGTGCGCGTCTCGCGTACTTCTTTCGTTGGATCGATAATCTACTACATATTGGTATATACAAGAGTTCTGATATGTTCAACACGGGCCGCGCGGCAGCAACGACTCGTGGTAAGTTTCTGATGATACAGTAGTAGCCTTCAACCCATCCTGTATCAGCGGTTCAAGTCACTAACCAAAAAGTGTCTTATCCCAGAGTAAATAGTAAGTTCTCTAATTGGAACACAAGTCTTCCACAATGTGTCCTGCCCTAACTCCCGTCACACTCAATAGCGTGTCACTCAATCCATGTGTTTCCTCTGCACAACCTTGCAAGTAGATCTTTGGAATAAATTCATGACCGGCCGTTGGTAGTGGAAGAAGTCTATAACGTCGCGAGATATAGAGCGTATCTGACATTCTGGTGAGAAATATTCTCAGTTGCTCGGGACGTATGTAACGTACCGGAAACTTTGGTCTCCATAGATGCATGTATCGCCTCTGCGTTGATACCCTTGTCCGGTGTCCGTGAATGACCATTTATTCCATTCGCGGCCGCTTTAAATATACCATTCTTGCCGTTCATGGTCGCTCCAAAATTGCCATTCTTCCCGTTCGTGACCGCTCTAAGATCGCGGTCCACAGCGAGGCGCGTCTTATCTGAGCTAGCGCACAGGCCGAAGTGCTTGCCTAAGCTGGATGACTTTAAGAGGTTCAGCCACGAATTTCGCTCGTAGCCAGTAGCGCAAATAATGGCATCATATGTCGTCTCGGAGAGACCTTGTGTGATGGTATTCTGCAAAAGAACCGAAAGTGTATCTGCATCTTCTGTTTCTCTGGAGGTTTGCGAAGGATTTGTGATGATCTCCGCTGACGACAGGTTACTATAAGGCAGGATGGTGATATGTGTACTGGTCACAGGTGGCACATTTCCCCCGCGTCTAGCGATGTCACCGTCTACTTGTTGGTCGTACATGACTTGGTAGAGCTGTTGTCGCATTTGTGAATTGCAATCAATTAGTAAAATACATGCAACTCACTGAATCAAGCGTAAGCGGATTTACCACCCCGTAGTTTGTGGCTTTGTAGTCTGCCATTACTCTTTTTCGAGAATCACTTGGCAGGTCGTACATCACATCCACCATCTCTGGATTGTATACCTGGTTCGCAAAGGGACCGCCATCGCTCGGGTTCAATGAGCCACCACGAATAATGAGGTGGAGGTTGTGCGGTTGGCCGGCACTCTCGCCCATGCTGGTTAGCCGCGAGTTGAGGTCGAGTAGTACTTCCACTGCGGATTGCCCAGCACCAACAACCGCGATTTTAAGTGGCCGAGTGGTTGCCTTCATCGTGGCCAACATCGGTTCTACAGAAGATATGTACTGAGAGCTGTGAATGATGCGAGGATGAGGTAGGATGGTCTGAATACACCGCGGGACCCATGCTGAACCTCCTGGCGAGATGATTATATTTTCTGAAAAACCCTCAGTCAGTTCATGCATGACAACGTTGTGATGGATCGATGCTGACTTGCACGACGAATTCTAGTTTCGCCAGTTGTAAGCACCTTGCTACGGACCTGCACGGTGCCTTCGCCCTCTTCTTCAATTGCAATAACACTTTCGCCATATGCGACCTTGATGCCTTGAGCCTGCACGTACCGTGCGGCATAGGCAAGGTAATCCGAGTATTCCTTCCGCGTCGGGGTAATGCAGCCCCGGTTGATGAAGTCCACCAGACGGTTTTGGGAGTGCAAGTATGATACGAAGGTGATAGGAGATTGTGGCGACCTCAGGGTAGCCAAATCTTTCAGGAAACTTGGGTTCCTCCCCTTCAGTTTCAAGATGCGATCGATATAGAATTGCACTTGCCTAATCTGCATACGGGTACCTGGGAGAAGCATACCCGGATGCCACTTGAATTCGGGATATCGCTCGATAAAGAGGGATTTGTTCACGGATATTGGGCTGGTCTAGAATACTGATGACTCGGAATTCCACATGTAGTATATTGGATTGATGTACCTCTCTCGGTTGTTCCAGTAGTGCTCCAGCAACAGCAAGATTTGCCGGGCCAAATCCAAGGCCAATGACATCGTACACGCCAACTGGAGGAGCTTCAGGTGATGGCATGGTGAGGAATGCTGATCTGAGAGTTTGTGAAAAGTACTGAATAACCACAGATGATGTGCAGTCGGTGTCGGAAGGATATCTTATCGGATGTGGGGATACGTCATGTGGAATGTGATCGCCATGATTTTATAGGCATCTAAAATCCGAATTGCGACGGAACCTGCTCGAAGTAGTGTTGACAGAACTTGGGAGTTTTGCCAACAGCTGGTCTAGCAAAACTGGTTGTACCTGGCCCTCAGCTGCAAGGGGAGTGGCAGATCCTGACAGAACTCCGGGGCATCGGAGAGTCGCAGAGATATGAGATATAATTTAGACATGATAACACAGATAGTTGACTTGAAATACTGCCTGCGTCGGCTGAAATCTTGCTTGCCATGTTTATTGTAGCGGGATCTACAGGCTAATGGAACTAGAGCAAAAAACGGACCTGATTGGTGGAAGAATGTGACAAAAGATAGCGAAAGGAAGCTATAAGTGACAGGCTTTGTATAGAAATAGAAATAGAAACAAACATATTACACTTATCACACTTGGTCGTTACTGATGCATGCGATGACGGTAAGTCGACGTTGGAATTGCTATACCTTTGATTGGACTGTGATATCCAAACAAAATAGAAACCAATCGAGTGCTTGTCATTTGTCGGAGTGGCGTCGCTCTGAGAGGCACATCCAATTGAGTGTCTGTCATTTATCGGAGTGGCGTCGCTCTGAGAGGCAAGCTCAAACTTGGTCTCAAACTCTCGCGGACGGAACTTCGATTTCGCAATCAGTGGGGCTGATGTTGCAGATTATATATCCATGTACAGCGAGGTGACAGGTTGCAGCAGGAGATAACTGGGCACTAGTAACCGAGCGGTGCCAAGTACTGGAAGGTAGTACAGCAGCGAAAAAGTAATTTTAGTCATTCTTGAATCTTGTACCGAATTTTTTATTTTTACAACATACCTACACTTAAGTAGCCGAGCCCCTGTGACGCGTTATGCAACCAAGGCCCTGCGACGTGTTAGGGTTGTCTCCATACAGAGGCACAGTATTCGTTGGGGAGGACGAAGTTGAGGTGCTAGTGAGTTATGCCTAGAATTATGCAGCAGGGTTTCAATACAGTACGAGTAGAGGCTGTAAGCTAGGGATGGCTCACGTTGGCGTGTTGGACGTCGAGAGAAGAGAAAACCAACTATCGACTCCCAAAAGTAAGACGGTACTGGCAGCTAAGCAGACGACCTTTCACGCTGGAAAAACCTTCCAATCAATTCTGAAATTCATCCACTCAGGGTCTTTGCTGTGATGATCATTTCAATTGTAGGGCATGCATGCGAAGTAGAGCGCACATTCTCTGATCTCAGCACAACACAATCTGCGCGACGGTATAAATACTAAACTCTCAGTCGACACATTCGAAACACTCGGGAAAATTCGCGCAAACCTTCGACACCACAGCACCATGAAAGCCGCGAGGCCGGGAAGTCCACCCGCCATCGACATGCTCACATGCACACTCGTGAAGCGATATTGCCGTCGGGGTTGGACAGGATCTTGAAGCATTCTTTGCGTGGGCACCTCCACTCTCGACCGAGCCCCGTGCAGATGTCCTTGCAGGTCCAGAAACGACGTTGCCGCTAAATCTGCGGCTCTCGAAGAGTTGAAGAGGACTGAAGAAGAAATTCAAAGCAATTTACCAAGATGAAGAACTGGAGCGATATGCTTTTGATTTGGCGAGTTAAATCGCGCGTCGACCAGGGAATAATACTAACTTCAAGGCTATTCCAGATTGATTCTAGATCAGGTTGAGGTGATTAATTACAATATTATGCAATAGTGAGGATGATGATGCATAGGACGAGGTGACATTAACACTGTCATCATTAGGAATGTTGTTCTAGCTTCGTCTGGGACGGTCTGGCTCGAGAGTCGCTGACAATGACATGATCTCATAGGTTTGGCTGGATCGAGCGTTAGCTCGGGGTGGGACGCAAGCAGGTAGGAGTCGTTTGGGAGCTGCCTACGAATTCGATCGTATCGAATGACTCTTCGAATGGCATCAAAGAGAGTGGTGGTTGCTAAAAAAAAAGACTTTCTGTGCGAGTGAGGAACGCGAGGCACGACGAACTTGACGTCGTGGTAGGGAGAGAAGTGGATGAAGTTAGGAACGAATAGCGCCACCGCTCAGCGCTCAGCAGCTAGACGCCTCTAAACACATGGTGCCGGGATATTCCGGCAGGCTTCACCCAGCATCTGCACATACGCATAGTCTACATAGCCTAGAGCTTTGCCGGTGTATCGCTTCACTGGATCATGTTCTTGCTCAGAGAGAACCTATGAACCCATGGTAAATGTAAAATTGTAAATGGATCTTGGGCAGCTTGATAGCTGGCGATTACCACTGTCATCTACATTGTCCTGCGCGCGGAGTCAAATGCGGAGCTAAATTTTGGTTCTGACTGTTCTGAAATCACGGAGTGATATCAAACACAGTGACATATGTCACGTGACAACTTAGCATAAAATGTCTTTCAAACGCTGCTATTGGAACCTCGATGTATCCCCCACATGGTAAGCATATATGGTTGACATTAGAGTCATTTCTCCATTCTAATATCTGTTCCAACATGGCATTGATTGAGACCCCCAACACAACAGAAGATGTATGGGAGATTATCTTGCATCAAGGGATGTCAGGGTGCGAACAGGTGTTTATGGCTACACACAGCTGCATCAAGTGATGACTACCAAAGGGAAGACCTTTTGGTGCATTGCCTGTACTGCAGATGATCCTTATGAAGGCTTGCCAACCAACTCACCACCAGAGACAAGATATTTGGCTTTGAAGGAGTTGCTGAATAAGGATGGACCACCTGTTATGGCGAACTAGGATGGGCGCAACAACAGGTACTCGATAAGAGTAACGCCTGAAGCCGGATCGTGTCCCCACAAATGTAGGGTTCTTAAGACAAGTCGAAGAGGGTGTCTCTGACTTGAATATCAGTTATCAGACGACTTAGGATTGGAAGTCCTAAGTGAAGGATAGTTCAGGTAAAACCTAGTAGATTAAAGTAAAGATCTTCTAAGTACATAACTGAGCTTTTATAGGTAGTCATAGCTTTAGGGCCGGTACGTATTCATCATCAAGACGAGTCAGAGATAAGGCATATGTCATCGAGACGAGTCATCTAGTGATGGCTGCTGCGGTTGTGATGTAATACAGATATGGTGAAAGGTTTAGCCTAATGATGGCGCAACGAGGCGCGGTCATGACGTAATACACGAGTAAAATGAAGAAAAGAGATAGGGGCAGTAATTGTGATTGTAACATTACCCCTCATTTAGGGATGAAGTCACTGACTTCAGTTATCTTGATTGGCCCAGTAGATGGGGTCTGCATCGTAGTTGGAATAAAGCAGTTCGTCCTGCTCCTCGGTGATGGTGGTCTGCGCCATTTCAGCGGCATGAGTGATAGCGTCTTGCTCAATCTCCCATCGGGCGAGAGTGTCGTAGAAACCAACATCAGTCCACACCAGGGGGATGACCGCTTCTCCCTTCAGCTCTCTACAAAAGACCAATAAATGACCGGGTGCGTATTCCTTACAAACTCTGCAGTAATATGCAGGGCAATTCTTATGACAATGCCTGGCGACGCGGCAGTTGCGGCATATGACATTGTCGACCGGCGATGTTTTCACAACTGTGACAGAAGAGGACTGGTTTGGGGGAGATGGTGATCTAGACTGTTTGAGTGGCACTTTAGTGGGAGAGGCGGAGGCAGCTCGCTTAGCGGCGAGGCGTGAGGATCTTCTTTTGAGCGGGAGTCATTGTGTGGTGCACGTGATGGGGTCAGGAGATGGAGAAGTTGGTATGTCAAGTACAGCAATAGGAGGGATATTATCATCCTGATGCTCCACGGTAGTCATAGCAGGAGCTGGCGGTGGTACAGGAATGGCGACGTGAGGGGATGGTGGTTGTGCGACGTGAGGGGATGGTGGTTGTGTGACGGGGTTGAGAGCAATGCGCTCGGTGACGATATGGATAGCTTCTCTAATAGTGTCTCTAGTTTCTTCAGGCAAAAGACGGATCGCAGTATTGCGAATATGTATATGAAGGTGGCAGAAAATGGTTTGATGGCACTCATCATTGAGGAGAGCAGCGGTATGGTCAATAAGGCTGGCATCTCTGATAATCCTGATAATGAGACCGCTTGATATTGCTCCCCATTCTCCAAGGAGACGATCTATCTCTATGGCGTACTGCTGGGAGGTGATAGCGGATTTGAACAGAGCACTAGTTTCTACTTGGTCAATGACTGAAAAGTAGTCAGTGAGGACAGAGTCATCAGTGAGGGTTAGGGTGGAGTTGGAAGCTGGTGGTGAGGTTGCGGGGGATGATGCGTGCTGGGCAAGATTGGCGGCGGTGGCGTTTTGGTAATCAAGGAGTGTCAATGGATGCACGTTTCCTTTGGCAACGGTGTTCATAGCAGCGGTAAGTTCTTTGATGCAGAGGATACAGAGGTGTAGTCGTTCAATGTGGGACATTGTTAGAAAACCTATAGCCCATGGGCTTTCTTATAGGCGGTAAGGATGTCAGAAGCATTAGCAAGATTTCCTTCTGGAATCCACTCGTTGCTGGTGGAAGAGTATCCTTTCCAGGATACGAGATAGCGTCTTCGTTTACCTGTCCCCTTGTGCGATAAAATCGCATCAATTTCATATTCTTCTTCATTATTGATGACGTCAGGAGGTGGGTCATGGAAGTTCGGTCCATGAACCTCTGTTTCGCGATAGGACAATAGCTCGGAAGCATGGAACGTGGGTGAACTTTCCACTGTGGAGGTAACTGGAGCATAAACGTGATGGGGGAGAGGACAGCGGTAATTGGGAAAGGGCCATATCGTTTGGGTGCAAGTTTCCGCAATGGTAATTGGGTGATTAGATTCTTCCCAGATAGCCAAACCTTATCTCCTACTTTCCACAGGTGGTACTTCTGTCCATGAGTTCATTCAGCCATTCACTGCATAGCGAGGTTGTGGCACAAGAGGGCCTCTTCTCTGGACTTCTGGAGGGAGAGTAGTCTCTCTTCTGCTGCGGGAACAGTAGAGTCAGGGAGAGTATGAGGGAGGGCTCGTGGTTCATAGCCCATCATCAAGAAGAAAGGCGACGCGTTGTGGGAATCGTGTTTTCGGTGATTGTGCATGAATTCCGCCATCGGAAGGTGTTCAACCCAATCTTCTGGGTGGTTTCAACAGTAGATCCGAAGGTACGTTTCGAGCTCTTGGTTGAGT